TTGTTTTCAGATTACAATTTCTCATCCTAGCATAAGTAAGACTTGTTTCCCCCTGTATGCACTTTTCCCTCCGAAGTCGTTGGCACAATGTGGGATGTCAGGTTTGTTTACGTCGTCCAACATTCTGTGATAACAGATACAATACTACCGACTACTGTTATACGGAATCTCTGTCATATCAGTTTAAAGTAAAACAAAAACAAACTCACCAGAACAGTATATTTTCTCTCACACACAAAAATAATATTCTTAATGTAAGAAAATCGACCAAAATCCTAACCCACATTTTTGAGGAAGGAATTACACTAGGCACCATGAAGCCACACTCAAATTTAAAATCTAATCAAAAGAAATACCTAGATTCGCTGTATTGTAAACAAACATTGGAAGGAGCATACTGGGGAGCCAGTAACACAATTTAAAGGCTAGCCTACACTGGAATAGGTAGGCTTATTATTAAATGCAACTTAATCTCACGGGCTGTAGCAACGAAAGGGAACTTTGGAAATGTATAGCATTTTTCCTCTGGACCAGAACAAATTCACTGACGACGATTTCTTGCCTTCCGAGGTCACTGACCAGTATAAGGAAGAAGAGGATATGGATGAAGATAAGGAAATTATTATTGCCCTTCAGTCTACAGAAGCTGCTACTGCTCCTGTCGAAGTTCCGGATGTCATTGTGGGCCAAAGCTCTATTCTTGCCGATGATACTCTAGAAGAAGCCGACATAGCTCCTCCCCATGACATCTCAGGACCTTCTCATAGCAACATTGGAACGTCACCAAGTGACATTTGTCCTCTGCCAAAAATTAAAATAAACAAGAAACGTTCAGGAAAAGGTTTGGAATCGACCCTGTTAACGTCGAGTCCAAATTTGCAACGCATGGAAATACTGCAAGAGGAAAAAGACAGCGCAGAAAAGAAAAAAGTTAAAAGGGCATTGCTTCTAGAAACAAAGGCAACGGCAATGAAAAGATGGTTGTCCCCGGATAACACTTCATCAGACTCTGATTCAGATTTCTCCGTCCAGAACAGCAGCTCTGACTTGACTATCTTGTCTTCAGGAGAAGAGGAGCTGGATTGTGTTTTAGAACTGCAACCTGGTGACTTTGCTCTTGTCAAGGTGCATGGGAAAGCCAAATACTCTTTTAGGTTGTATGTGGTTAAAGTTACTGATTGTGATGACGAGGGATACGATGGTATCTTCTACAAGCGAGCTCCTCTAACTCAAAGGTTTACAGAAACAAGTGAAGAGTCCTATTTTGAAAAGGGAGACATTATTTTGAAACTCTCTAAGCCAATTTTCAGCAGTTCAACTCGATTTAAAAATATGATCAGTTTTTCAAATGACCTCACTGATTTTTCAATTTCTTGAATAAAGAATGATTTTACAATGATTTTTTCCAGTCTTATGTCATTATTTTACCAATGGGGCAAAGACCCGCGGCTGCGGGTCTTTGCCCCATTGCTGGGGCAAAGACCCGCAACGTATTCATTCATTCAGTAGCATGTCCCTCGCGGAACCTCGCTGCCATAACAACCCTCCGGAAAACCTTCCTATCATGAGCAAGATGTCCTGCGTCTGATGCACCCATCTGGAGATCATCTGCCACATCCTGCACCCATCTTCTCCTTGGCCTTCCTCTTCCTCTCTTCCCAGGCATATACCCCTCCATTATTGTTCTCTCTAGACCTCCATGACGTTTCAAGTGACCAAAATATTTCAATTTTCTTTGTTTTATTGTCTTTACTAGCCAACCCTCTTCAATATTCAGCTCTTGAAGTATGGATGCATTTGTTCTTTTCTTTACCCAAGATATTCTTAGAACCTATCTGTAACATTTATATTCAAATGCATTTATGCGCTGTTCCGCTTGTTTAGTAAGTGTCCAGGTCTCACAGGCGTATGTTGCAATGGGAAAGATGCATGCTCTTAAAAATCTGACCTTTGTAATTCTATCTGTACAATTCCATAATTTATTCAGTTGTTTTAGTCTTTGAAGAGCAATTGATAGTCGCCGTTTAATTTCTTTCATTGTGTCACCATTGTTGGTAACCAGTGACCCAAGATATTCGAAATTTTCCACCACTTCCAATCTTTCCTCATTAACATATATTTCCTTCTCCATGGCAGTTTTGTTTGTATGCATTATCTTTGTTTTTGCTGTGTTAAGAAATAAGTTATGATTTTCACTATTTCTTTGGAGTGAGGTTAATAAGTTTTCTAAACCATTTTGTGATGTTGATAGTAATACTGTATCATCAGCATAACGAATTTCTGGTATTTCATGACCACCGATGTTTAGGGCATCATATTGTTCCTTGTTTATATCATCTCTTACATTTCTCATTATATTTTCGGCGTACAGGTTGAACAAATACGGTGACAGCACACATCCCTGACGGACTCCTTGCTTGATGCCAAACCAGTCTGATGTCTCTCCATCTATTCTGACTGCTGCTTGTTGGTCTTGATAGAGCATTTTAATGAGCTGCACTATATGTGATGGAAAGCCCATATTCCTCATGATTTCCCAAAGCTTCTGATGTTGTACACAGTCAAATGCTTTTGAATAATACACAAAACATAAGAACAGATTTACATTAAATTCTCTACACTTCTCTATTATTAAACGCATGTTAAATATATGATCTCTTGTTCCTCTTCCCTGTCTAAATCCAGCCTGAGCTACATTAATCTCTTCTTCCATTTTCTTTTGCAGTCTTCTCATTATAATTTTTAGTAGAATTTTACTTGCATGACTGATCAGGGCAATAGTTCGATAGTTTGTACATAATTTCAGGTCACCCTTTTTTTGGTATTGGAATGAAGATAGGTCTCTTCCAGTCTTTTGGCCAAATACCATATTTCCATATCTTTTCACATAATGCATGATAGATTTTTATGCTTTCTTCTCCTCCCGCTTTAATCAATTCAGCTGGTATCTCATCACATCCAGGTGATTTACCGTTTTTCAGGCTCCTTATTGCCCATGAAATTTCATCTAATGAGGGTTCAGGTTCTGCCTCTACTGTTTCTGGTTCATGTATATCATTCATATCCTCACTGTCATTCATATCATACATTCCGCTGCAGTATTCCTGCCATCTTCCTAGAATTTGTCTAGATTCTGTTAAAGTATTTCCCAACTTGTCACAAATAACATTTAACTGAGGTTGAAAATTTCTTGTCAATAACTTCATTTCCTTGAACATTTCGTAATCTCTTCCATTTTTTGTGATGCTGCTCTATTTTTAATACAGCAATCTTGTACATACTGATTTTTATCCTTTCTTGTGTACTTTCTTATTTCTCGTGTTAAAAATTTATACTTCATCCTACTGTCATTGGTTTCTCCTTTCTTTTTCAGTTCCCTTCGTTGTTTTATTAGTTCTAACGTGTATGGTGTGATCCATGGTTTATTTTGCTTAGTCCTGGTGGGTATTAAGTCTTTAGCTGCTGTTATCAAGATATCCCTAGCTTGTACCGCCAGTTCATCAGGTGTCATTTCCTCTTGTACAGACATCAAGACCTCAAAACGGTTCTTCACTTCTACGTTGTATGCATCTGGTATTTTTGTGAGATCAAATCGAAATGGCCTTGGTCCTCGGGTAAGCTTTTTATGTTTTAATTTCAGATCTGCTTCTAGTAACTGATGATCTGTATCGCAATCTGCACTTCGCATGGTTTTTGCAGATGTTATGCTCGATCTCCATCTTCTTTGTATTAAAATGTAATCTATCTGATTTTTGGTAACACCGTCAGGGGATGTCCATGTGAAAAGCCTTCTAGGGTGTTGTTTATAAAGTGTGTTAGCTATTGTTAATTCATTTTCTATGCAAAATTCAATCAATTTTTCTCCTGTTTCATTTCTATTACCCAATCCAAATTTTCCTAAAACGTGTCTCTCATTTTCAGCTCTGCCTGTACCTACTTTAGCATTAAAATCTCCCATTATTATTATTATATCATTCAGATTAATTTTTTTTTTTGTGTCTTGCAGTATGGCATAAAAATCTTCAATTTCGCCCTCCTCTGCTGTTGAAGTTGGTGCATATACCTGCATGAAAGTTATGTTTTTTGGACGGCCTTTAAGTCTGATAGTTAGGATTCTATCACTAACTGGATTATATCCCATAATAGCTTTTGCTGTTGTTTTATCTAAACAAAATGCCACTCCGCTCTGGCCTCTTACATCTCTACCAGAATATACGAAAAAGCTTCCATATTCATTGATAAAATGTCCCTTGCCACTCCAACGATGTTCACAAATTCCTAAGATCTGAATATTTAATCTTTCAATCTCATCACATACTACTTTAAGCTTTCCTTCATACAGACTTCTCACATTCCACGTTCCTATTCGCATTCCGCAACGTATAGATGTCAGGAAAATGCATTTGTTTTGATTATTAATAAGAACACAGACTTAGTAGCCACAAACATGGCGGGTAAGTGGCTAAACTATATTCATATGAAGTTTCATAGAATACATGCGAACGGTTTTCCAGAAATGTGTAAAAAACATGAAACTGCGGGTCTTTGCCCCGACCTACCCTACAAGATTCAAAATTTGAACTTACGAATAACACAACGAGCAATGAGAACCACACCCGTATAAAAATGGGACAACTGTTGTCTCGGAGTCCCTTGTGTTTCGTAAACAGTATAAATCCCTCCCTAAGTTTTAAGAGCTTAATATGCTTCCAAATCATCTGACGAACGGTAGATTTTAAGAATAAAATTCTATCCAGCCCCCCCCCCCACACACACACACACACGCACGCACGCACGCACGCACGCACGCACGCACACACACACACACACACACACACACACACACAAAGTATGATTCATTTTGCAAGAGAAACTTTGAACACCACACAATTATAAAAACTGACATAATGATGCGTGAAGCTCTCAAGCGAGAACTATGGATTAACTGTCCATTCTTATCCAGTACAGTTCTGGAAGTCCCAGGGATAATCTCCAGAAAGATTTTTAAAAAAAAACTTGGTCAGAGCAAAGAGCTTTTTCTCATTATATACTCATAAATCAATATCCCTCTAAAATGTATGTCCACAGACGGTTTGTTAAGAGAGAGAGAGATGGAGAGAGAGAGAGAGAGAGAGAGAGAGAGAGAGAGAGAGAGAGAGAGAGAGAGACGTGAACCTCAACCTTAGAAGGGATTGTGGGATACGGGATCAGACCACGGCGTCGTTAGCAATCCAAAATGGCGATTGTTTATGTTCCGTGGTCATGTTTACGTGACTGTGTGTGTTACAACGATGGGAACCCTCACACTGGATGGCAGGTTACTTTGTAACTTGCAGGGGTGCCCTAACTTAACTGTGAAATTTGCTTCTGTTTAATTCTTATTTTTGAGGTGGTAATCCAACGGATACAGCAATCCTTGAGGGCAAAACTCCAAAAATAGCAAAAGTTGGATTGTTCATCATGTTCAGTGACGTGACAACCACAGACGTGCGTGTTGCCCCAGTGTTAGCTGAAGCTACGAAACTGTGACTCGCAGGTGTGTTTTTTTCCGCTTTCAAAAATTATCAGTTTTATTTCGTTACTGCAGTTTAAAGCTTAAATAATTTGGTGCTATTCACGTTTCCCGGTCCATCTACACAGGCTGACCTTTTTTTTATTCATACTGTCTCAGCCTGTTCTACGTCAGAGGGTTGTCAGGTTGTCTTGCTTCCAATTACATCAATGCCGATGTCACATGTTCTATTCTACACGACGACACCGCTTTTAAAGACCATAGAACAGGCCCTAACCCAACCCCCCTCTTCCCCACAGAATGAGCCTAGGTCCCACAAAAGACTTTGAAGAAAAGAGTACAACGTGACACCCCTCTGCCCTAGACAGGATGAGAAAGTGCGTAGATGGGCTGAGAAACATAAATAGGATGAGATAATTTTTTGAAATTCATTATACAGAAATGTGGACACCAAATCACAACATGTAGTTTTATCTGGAATAATCAGCTTCTTCAAATTGTTAGACTGCGACCAACAATTGCACCCAGACGTTACCTTGTAACTGTTTATGCCCCAGTATAACTAGTATGTACAGTCAAATGCTGTTTCATGGATTTGCTGTGGTTTTATTCCTGTCTGAACAGGGGCTCTACAAGTCACCGGGTGTCAATCATTGAGGCTACTAACTAAACCTAAAACTGAATGGGTGAAAGAAAATGAAAACTTCGGTAAGCCATGTTCAGATGAAGCTAGGGCACTCTGCAGACAAGACAAAGACACAGGCACAGGAAAACATGTAGCTCACAGACTAGAAGAATGTCTGATGTAAGTGTTTCAATCATTTAATTTCTCCTGTAATATCTATACTTTATATTTTATAACGAATATCCACTTCTCTTAATGATGTCAGCATCTGTGATTCAGGCGTTGCAAATGCATTTCATAAATGCCAGGTGCCAGGTTCGATCCTAGCTGTGGATGATTTGTTTTGCATTGGTTTCAACAGTGGTACCGAGAGCTGACCATTCAGTAGCAGTAGCAAATTATTTAATGTAAAATTTGCCTAGAAAACCACAACAGAAACAATGCTGGGGTTAGTTCTGCAATATCCTATTAAGAATATGCAACTTACATATTTTATATATATATATATATAGAGAGAGAGAGAGAGAGAAAACAAACACACGAACAAACAAACAAACTTTTTTTCAAAGGGTTACAAATAGGGTACACAGGCCCATCTTACATTCGGCCCTTCCAAACACTCACCTTTCACACAGCAGTAGTTGTATTTTATCAATAAAGTATATTATGTTTATATAATAATATGCATATTATAAATACCAAGAAAAAACACAAAAGCTTGGGTGGTAAAATACATGAGCACACTCTTGCTCGCACACACACACACATCCATATACACACGCCAACCTATTCGCTAACTCACTTACACACCAAAATACACACTCACATATTCAATACTAACACATGCATACATAATACACACACAAACACACATACATTTACACATGCATATGCTCACACACACACACACACATAAATATATAAATATATATACATACATATTTAATCATACATATATACATACATACAGTGCATACAGACACTTGCAAAGAGAAGTACATACCAGCACAGACAGACATACCCACACTGACACACATGGACACACACAGACAGACATACACACAGAAAACACATGCAGACACACACATTCACACACACATACAAACACACATACATTCACATATACATACATATATACATTCCTATATCCGTGCATACAGACACTCACAAAGACAAATACAGTCTAGCGCACACAGACAGACATTCACTCAAATACACACATTCACACACATACATACATCATACATACATCCGTGCATACTGCCACTCACAAAGACAAACACAATCTAGCGCACACAGACAGATTTACCCACACAGACATACACTCAAATACACAAATTTACACACATACATACATCATACATGCATCAGCGCATACACACTCAAGAGATAATCACAGACTAGCACACACAGACTGACATACTCACACAGACACATACATGCAGACACACACACACACGCAGACACACATGCACACAGACAGACATACACACAAAAAACACATGCAGACACACAGGGACACACACATAGACACACGCACACACAGACAAACGCACACAGACACGCATACAAAAACTGATGCACACAGAGACATTCACACAGATACACACACACATTCAATGGCATATGTTTTAATTGAAATATCTTAGTCTTCTTCTTCTTCTTCTTCTTCTTCTTCAGCATTCTGATCCCTTGAGGTTCATTGCTGCAGATATCACCTGCCTCCATTCATCTCTCCGGTTAGCCTTCTCTTTCCAGTTGGTAAACCAAGTGTTTGCAGGTCTGTCTGGATATTATCTCTTCATTGTCGTCTTGGTCTCCCTCGAGGTCTACCACCATTCATCTCCCTGGTGTATACAGTTTTTACTTCTCTGTCATCTGACATTCTTTCAATATGCCCCAGCCATTTCAGTCTATTAGCTCTCATGATGCCAGTGATCAGTGGTGATTTAAACAGATTATGAATTTTGTTGTTGCTTCTCACTCTCCATTCACCGCTGTTTGGATCTTTGATGGGTGCAAAGATGTCGCAAGACTGTTTTCAAAAGCCTGTAATAAGGCTTCATCTCTTTTAGTTATCTTAGTCACCATAAAATAATACATTTAAATTAATCTAATATATGCAACTTCCAGAACAGTAACCAGACTAGTGTGAGACATGATAGCAGTGTGCCAGACCTTCCAGTCGCAGCCATCGTTTGTCTTTCGGTTGGAGGCTACGTTATTTTGGTCATGATTTTCCTTAGCATCAGACGTCTGTTGGTGGTACGTACTGTATGTGTTCCATAAATTTAGTGAGTATTATGTTTTTACATAAGGTTTAAAATCAAGAGGGTTATGAGTTGGGTGATCTTAATAGCACTCCGGACATGTCCATAGTTGTTCAGATTCCACCATCAACATATACATAGCGTCCCATGGCTAAAAGTGCATAAGACTTCTCATAGTTCCTGTGTACCACTCCTGCCTGGTCATGCAGATCTTTACTCCAAGTTCTTGCTTTCTTAGCAGCGATGTAGAGGTGCTGCTTCCAAAATCTTCCAATCGTCCTATCCCATCTAAGAGCATTAACAGTACTAGCATAATCCATAGGCCTATTCATGTTCAACAAAATTCTGCACTAAGAAAACATTCCTTATGAGTTGCGGCTCAGTACACTCAGAGGAAAGGCAAGATAGACATATAACAAGATTGTGACTGGTACCATCAGTATTTAAACTCTGCGCTGGCTGCTGAAGATTAGGACGGAGCTTGCATTGGAATGCCCTGAGTGCTTCTTCTTCTTCTTTCGTTCGCATGAAATAAATTGTCTATATCTGCAAAGCCGTCTCTAGTATGAATTTCACTGTCTTTTGTAATTCACTAAGCGGCCCGTAAAGTTTGACTTCCACAAGTGTCTCTTTTGGCCAAAGGTTTTGCCTGAAAGCGTTGAATCTGGGACAGTCTTGAAGGATGTGATCTGTTGTTTCGGGTGCCAGTCCACAAGTACACATGGCTGATTGGCCAATCTTAAATTTGTTGTACATGTGGGAGCGAAGTCGATTGTGCCCTGTTCTAAGGCGAAGGATAATGACTTGCTCTGGTCTGTCCATAATATGGTAATCATCTTGTGCCAGTTTCGGTGGCATTCTGATTGATTTGATCATTCTCTTCTTCTGTTGATAAGAGACTGGTATGTCAGGTTGTTCTTCAGTTGCACCTTCCTTAGCTAGTTTATCAGCATTTTCGTTTCCGGGAACTCCACAGTGGGAAGGTATCCACTGCATTACTAATTTACAGCGGTTGCCTAGTTCGGATAATAGTGTCTGTATGCTTGGTAATTTTCCAGACTGGAGTGACTGAAGTACTGCTTTTGCATCTGTCAGGAATACCACTGGTTGTGAAAAATACCCTATATTTAGTAGTTTCTCTACCGCTATCTTGATGGCTTGAACTTCTGCATCATAGTTGTGACAGTGCTTTCCCGTTGGTAATTTGGCTGTATCCCTGGTATTATTAGGATACTCAGTGTACACTCCTGCACCTCCGTTTCTGACTGCGCTTTTTGCTGACCCATCTGTGTAAACACGGACCCAAAGGTTCTTCGGGTATTCATCATCAAGTAGACTGAGGGTGGCTGTTTTGCGCTGCACACTGTTTTGTTCTTCCTTGTCAAATACCCCTTTCACTTCAGTCTTGATGTGTATTGGAAACTTATACTCCTCTCTCCAGGGGGTCCGTTCTGGGACAGCATTTAAGGATCTATCAGTTGCAGGTAAATCAGTGGTTTGTCTGCCGAGCCGTTTGGCCTGGTGGATAGAACTACTTCTCTTTAGTCGTCCCAAAGCTAAATTTTTGAATCTTTCATTCATAGGGTGACTGGGCATACTAAGAAACTTTTCTGCTTGTAAAAGCATCTTGGTGTCTCTGCGTTCACTCAGTGCTTGGGTCATCCCCATTTTCTCCATCACAGCTATAGGTGTTGATTTCATACTGCCTGTGGTAACTCTGAGTGCTTGATTTTGCACTTTATCTAATTCTTGCAATGTGGTTTTTGATGCCGAACTCCATGCTGTTGATCCGTATTCAAGATGTGGTCAAACACTTTGTTGGTAAACTTTCCTAAGTATTTTCCCGCTAGCACCCCATGTGGTTCCACTTAGTTTTCTCAGAATGGCTACCCTCCTTCTGGCTTTGGTTGCTGCCTTGTTGATGTGTTTTCTCCATGTTAATCTATCATCAAACGTTACGCCGAGGTATGTGGGCTCCTTATCCTCTCTCAGGGGTACTCCATTTATGTGCATGACACCTGATTTTTGTTTAGGAGAAAGGGTAAAGAGGGTGGTGCTGCATTTGCCTATATTGATGCTGACACACCATTTGTCGGCCCATTTAGCCATTGCATCTATGGCTCTTTGTAGCAGTCTGGTGGCCACTGTCGCATTTTCATTTGTACACCAGAGTACCAAGTCATCAGCATACATTGCAGCTTTAATTCCATGGGGTAGTTCAGAAAGCAGGTCGTTGATATAGACTAGGAAGAGTGTGGGCGACAGGACACCTCCTTGTGGGACGCCATGGCGCAGCAAAACTTTCTTACTCTTAAGTCCATCTATCTGTACTCGGGATCTTCTGTTATACAAGTATGCTTTCACCCATTTGTACATACTCCCATTCACCCCGCAGTCTCTCAGTTTCTTCAGTAGACCTTCTTTCCAGACCTTGTCAAAGGCTTTCTTCAGATCTATCCATGCCGTTAGCACTAGCTTCTTTTCCTGGAAGGCATCCTCAATTTCTTGTGAAAGGTAAGTTGTCTGGTCTTCTGTGGAGTAGCACTGTCTAAATCCTGCCTGCTGCGGCGTGAAAATGTTTTCACTTTCCAAGTACCATTGGAGTCTAAGGTTGACAATACGTTCCATTGTTTTACAGAGGCAGCTGGTAAGACTGATCGGTCTATAGCTGGAGGCATCAGAACTGTCCTTTCCTGGTTTAAGCAGAGGTATTGTGATTGCTTCTCTCCATATTTGAGGAACTTTGCCACTTGTCCAACAATGATTAAAGATCTGTAGCAGCTTTTTTTTGGCAGTTGTTCCAAGGTTCTTGATCATTTCGTTGGTGATTCCATCAGTGCCTCAGGAATTATATCTTTTTGTCTTGTATGTTGTTTGTTTTCTTGAACCTCTCGCTGTTTCTCTGGGCTGACATTAATGTTGCTGTCTTCTGCAAAGGAATCTGCAAAGTGGTCAGCTGCCTGTTTTCTTGTTAGGATGGCTCCCTCTTTGCATAGTGCAATATTACCATTTCTTCCTGTATTCTCATCATTAATTTGCTTAATTAACCTCCACAGCTTCCTTGTGTCTCTTTCAAAGTTTAGAGACTTTGTCTTTTCCTGCCAGCTTCTCCGTCTAGCCTGCAGTTTGGCTCTTTGAAATTTGGCCTTTGAATGTTGGTAGTTGTTAAACTGCTCTTGACAAGGTCTGGTCTCAGCTTGTTTTCTTTCTGTTTCCATATTGTTGTGCAGTTGCTCCAGATCGCAATTCCAGTACGGTTTGTATTGTTTACGCGCACCTCTTGGAACTGCTTCTAGGGCTGCCTGCAGTATGTGTTTGCTCAACTCTTGGACTACTTTGTCTACGTCGTTATCTGTGTTCAGATTTTCCAGCAGAAAATTTGTGCGAAGCTGATATAACTTCCAGTCTGCCTTCTTAAAATTCCACCTTGGCAGTGTGCTGCTCTCTCTTACGCCCTGAGTGCTGTGATGTCAATTCTTGACTCAACTCAACTACTTAGAATACTATTCTTTTTTTTTTCTTTTTTTTAATCTCAAACAAATGTCTATTATCAGATCTGAGTTGCCTTTCTCAGACAGACCAGCAGCTGTGACTCTAGGGTTGTGAATTAGGTTACATAGTCTCTACATATCATGGTTTAAGTTTAGTTGCAGGCAGTATGATGAATTGCTTTATGCTAACTTTAACCCTATTGCTTGCAAATGCTAAAATAAAAGGGTCATAAACTCATGGAAATTCCTAGAAAATAAATCATAAAAATTTTTTAAAAAATAAAACATGTTATATAGGTGACTAATACATACGTTCTTTAATAACCGCATTAGCAAAATTGACATATATATAAAATACATTAAAGGAGGTATCAGTGAAGATGAACAAATTGAAGCATTAAATGGAATTCTTTTCCTGGGGCCTTAAAAAAATATGTATTTGGTGACTCATGCCGAGAACCTGTGACACTTACTGGAACAATTTGAAGTCAACTTGGCTATAAAAAGCGTGGCCTGTCAAACACTGAAGGTGTATACAAAGCGAATTGATTTAACTACACGTTTTCAGAACAGTCACTGCAGATAAGCCAGTATATTGGCATTTAGGGGACTGTGTCACAACAGAAAGTAACTAAATGGAATTTTCTAGTGGCAACAGGGTAAACAATGGCATGAGTGTATTATCTTTTAAAAAGCAATGGCAAACTACTAAAAACCCCTAGTAAAACTACAAAAAGGATATGGAACTAACTTTTTTGGGTGTGTGTTTATGTTGGTTGTTTTTCCATGCAGTCCAAAGGAATGCTGGATTCAAGATGCTGTTGTCCAGAAAACTTACCTGTGTGCTGTGCCTGTGAAAAGATTAAGGAGGTGTGCCGATCCTGCTGTGGCAGCTGTTGTAAGGAAGGATGTTTGAAAACCATGTGTGGGATAGACAAGGTCAGATATTTAATTGGTTCATTTGTCTGTCTCTGTTTCTGTTCAAGTGAATCCACTAAGGTGAGCGGTTGACCGCATGGTTAAGTAATTATCATGATGTGTGGCCACAGCTGGGACAAGAACTCACTTACTCAGGTGACTGTGTATGACAGGGCTATTCGACTAAGTCTACCCACGGGCCAACATTTTGATAATGGAGATTGTCACGGCCCAGGCAAAGAAAGCTCATTAATACAATACAATTGGCAATGATCCGTGGGTCATTTGCTAGTCCTCTGCGGGTCAGATTTGGTCCACGGGCCAGCAGTCGAAAAGCTCTCGTCTATGATGACAAACCTTGATGGCTCACACTTATCAATATGGCACAAGATTATGATGATGAGTGTCGCCCAATATCCTAATGCAGAGCATTCCAAACTGTGTGTCATGACACATTAGTGTTAAAGCTCTGTTGCAGGAACATAACCTACGCAGTGTCCTGATCTCCTATGAGGTGTTAGTTTAACTTTTGGTTTGCTGGGAGACTGAATTGCTGTGTTGCAAAATTATGTTTATCTGAAAAATATGTCACGAACATGAAAAAGAACTGTGCACTGGTGACTCCCTATTGCATCATTCTTTTCAGAGTGTGATCTGTTTGTCCTTCAAATGTGTTATTGAAACATATAGTGATGGGAGGGGATGTTGTGTCATCTCCTCAAACATATAGTAATGGGAGGGGATGCTGTGTCATCTCCTCAAACATATAATAATGGGAGGGGATGCTGTGTCATCTCCTCAAACATATAGTAATGGGATGGGATGCTGTGTCATCTCTTCAAAAATATAGTAATGGGAGGGGATACTGTGTCATCTTCTCAAACATAAAGTAATGGAAGGGGATGCTGTGTCTCTCCTCAAACATATAGTAATGTTAGGGGATGCTGTGTCATTTCCTCAAACATATAATAATGGGAGGGGATGCTGTGTCATTTTCTCAAACATATAGTAATAGAAAGGGATTCTGTGTCGTCTCCTCAAACATATAGTAATGTTAGGGGATGCTGTGTCATCTCCTCAAACATATAGTAATGGGAGGGGATGCTGTGTCATTTTCTCAAACATATAGTAATGGGAGGGGATGCTGTGTCATTTTCTCAAACATATAGTAATAGAAAGGGATTCCGTGTCGTCTCCTCAAACATATAGTAATGGAAGGGGATGCTGTGTCGTCTCCCCAAACATATAGTATTGGAATGGGATGCTGTGTCGTCTCCTCAATGAAGGTTGGCTAGTGTACAACTTCTGTCTTTAGGAATATTACAATGTGAGGCCTTTATAGGGTGCTAAAATGTTACATAGAACCTGTTCTGCTGTATGGCAGTGAATCTTGGAATGTCAGTGAACAAATTAAGGAGAATTTGGAAGCAACAGAGATGTGGTTTCTGAAACGAATGTTACGAATACCTTGGATGGCCAGAGTAACTAACAACGATTGTTTGAAAAAAGCTATTAAAAGTAGATCTCTAAATACAACAAAAAGAGGAGACAAACACTGTTCTTTGGCCATGTAATGAGAAGAAAGGCACTGGAAAACGTGACAACTGGAAAGATGAGTGGAAAGAGGGGTAGAAGCAAACCAAGAGAGATGATGCTGGATGGGCTGAAGCGATGGAAAGAAGGGATATCATCAACAGAGCTGTTTCAGGCAACCAGGAATCGTGATCTGTGGAGATGCAAGGCACATGTTGATGTGAGGCCTTAATCTCTCCCACATTGTGACACTCATTCTACAATCCAAAAATTGCAATTATTGTTTTGTTAAACTTTCTGCCACAAAAATCGAACCATAATACTTGAAGATCCTGAAATTGTGAAACATATTCACAAACCTCTTTTTACTGAGATTCTTTGAGATATTCGCCGAAGCTATGGAGTTCATGCTCTGTGGGGGCTATGTGTGATAAAACCCAGAGTGATGAGGTTGATCCCCTCGACTTTAACCTTTAGTCTTTAGAGATAAGTATATGGCACAGTGGTGGCGCAGTAGCTAGACATTTGCCTGCCAGTTTGAAGGTCTTAGGTTTGAATCTGTGGTGAGTGAATATATTGTATACATGACCTAGGGTTCTCAATAAGATCCAGTCTAAAATGGCTGCTTCTTCTTCTTCTCTTGGTTAAAATCCAGGGTCGCGGCTCCCCAGAGGCACAGCGGCGCACAGTTTGGGAATCACTGCTCTACTGCATGAAAAGAACATGTCTTAACACGTGTTCAGTATTTCTGTGGTGCCTGCCCACGTGGGTAAAGTTCTGAAACCCCAATCATGGATTTCATGTACTTTTTACTGCAGGGTCTGTTGTGTCCAGTATGCAGTCTAAATATAATGGTCTGTTTCTTTCGTGTAAGGGGGTTGACTGGCTCTTTAGAATTGTTTCTTGGATACATAAATGGATATTACAGCCTGTCATGGGAAGTAAAGGTGGCTGACCGAATCACCCATCAAGCACTAATGGGTCTATACAAATATGAGTGGAGCATCATATGCTTAAAGCAGCATGAAAAAGGTGTAACACTGGCAAGAAAAAAAAAGCAACCCACCTCCACTCCCCACCTTTGTTCTGTGGATAACATGATGCAGTTATTGGTAAAATCCAGGGCTTATTTCCTGGAGTACAAAAATGCACACAGTACCAACACTTTTTAAGGTGTCATTTTTTGTTCAGCGCTTTTATGTTCAATACCGGCACTTTTTGATTAAAGAAAAGCTCTGGTACTAACACAAGCAATTGTTGGCCAACCTTCAATGTAATAAGACGTTTTCTTCCCTCAGGAAATAAAGTGCAAAGACATTTTCTGTTGCTGTTTTACATGTCAACAAGGATGTGATGTAAGTCGTTAATAAAAATTTTTCTCTCTTTACATTTAAGATGTTATGACTTGTTAATAATATTGAAATATAAAATGGGGTCTCCGTGGTGAAGTTGTCAAACCATTTGACTCGCACTCTGAAGGTCGTGGGTTCGTTTCATCGCTGCTCAACTAGAGAAAGACACCACACTTCTTCTCAGCAAGGCAATCTTCTCTCAACTGCTTCTCAACCACTGATCTTTGAGACTTACCCAAGCATATTCCTTGAGTGAGTTCCCCCTGCATTCTTAAATACATGAGAAGCACGTCAGTTATTCTCGTCACTCAACTCAACTCACTCAGACCTCCGTGCAACAAGTTTCACCTGGCCAATTCTCAGACTGAATGTTGACTCAGGCATCGTTGACACTTCTTGAATTTACTGGCCAACATACATGCCTCAATTCACACAGACTTGACACATAACGGTAATATAAAAATTTATTATTTAAACAGGTTTCACCTCAGCATGTTTCAATGCCTTAAAGGTTAAAGTCGAGAGGATGGACTTCATCGCACCGGGTTTTATCCCGTATGACTTGAGCTGTCTCCTCAGAATGGCTAGCTGCCTGCCTAGAGTGTCGCACATAGCACAAACTTTGTAGCTCAGGCGACAGTCCTCAGGAATCTTCATAAAAAATTGCACCTGTGAACTGAAACGAACCCAAGACCCTAGAGCGCAAGCCAAATGGCTTGACCACTTTGCCACGGAGACAAGGAATCTTCGTCATATGTAGCAACTCAATGAGTATGCTCAGGAAGACAGAGATGGTCTAGACCCGAGGCAATGATTGGTGTCTCTGAGGTGGTCTGACTGACAAAGATCAGTTTTATTTTTGTGCCAAGGTATGCAGGTGTACAAGGCAATTAGCAAGCTGATAGGCTTGCAGGTAAAGCTAGATAGATAAAGATAGATGGGGGGTAGATAGTGGACCAGCTGATATACTGAATGCTGTACAAGAACTAAGACATTTGAGAGAACCAGGTGACTGAATTTGCAGCCATGATCAGACTACAAGAACAGCAAGTTAACCCACTGACTACTAAGCCCATAATTCCTTGCACTTTCCCAGATACCTATTTTTTTTTATTTTTCTAGTGTCTAATCAAAAAAAAAGCCATAGCTTCACAACTATTTGACATAAATTCATATGTTGTATTTTTGCACCAAACTGAATGGAGAACAAATATCAAGAATAAAAACTGCACAATCTTGTTTGACATCATCATCATGTCGATGTACATTGGTGCAAAAAGATAACCAAAATATATTTTTCTCAGGCAGTAATATAAATAAAAATGCCACAGCTTCACAGCTATTCAATGTGGTTTTTTAATAACAGATCATCATCATGGCACATGGGTAGTAACCCATAAGTGCTCCGTTCTTCTTCTAACTCAAGTCTGAGTCCTAAGAAACTCAGCACAGTGCTCAGGCTCTGTAGCACCGGCGAAGATCCTGAAATACTTTGGATAGATTTTTAACTAAAAATTTTGCCAGGGCAACGCCGTTAGGCTACTCTTCGATTTCCAACTGCTAACAGATTTTTTTACGTGCGCAACAAAGCACACAGGCATCTGATCTCATTACCCAGAGACCAGGGGGAATTACTAGAAGCCCAAGTCCACACACAAAAAATCCCAGCCCTCTGGTACTCGAGGCGGACACCACGAGACCACGCAGCCCCTTGACAGGGGCGCTGAGAAATGCGGTTTCCTTGTTTCCTCTGTCTTTTCGTTGTTTAGGCACACAGGATATCGGTGGCAGACGGGGAGGGCTGCGGTAAATTCTTACCTTAACATTTTGTAGTTTCTAGTTCAGGTAGATACTAACTGGCTTGACCACAACACTGATCACGTTGTTTGCAGGATAGTAGTAACTGTCAGCGTAGAGCTGTGATGGCAACACTTGTGGTTCTGCATTCTTCTTTCGTTCAATTAGCGCAGTCGGAGGATCAGAGGCTGCATAATTCAGGGTCCATCTGTCTTGGCCTTGGGAAGTTTTGTGGGGTACCCAAGATCACCAATGAGCTGTGTATATGCGGATGAAGGTGGAACAGATTTAGATCTCTGAAGTCTAACGGAGACATCTGGAGTTCGTGGCAGTGGCAGGAATGACTTCGACCGCGGAACTTGACGACCGTTGAAGGAGACAGACCTGTTCCGATTATCAACTGTTGAGCCATAAACCATCTTAGAGTCTGTATGCAATGTAATATATTCAGTATAATATATATAATAATATATTCAATATAAACTCATAATTTTTTGCATTTTTGCAAATAATTGAATGGAGAACAATCTCCAAGAATAACAAATTGTGTAATCTTGTAGTATATCATCACAATATGACTGTAGATTGGTGAAAAAAATGTAACCAATTTTTTAATTTTCTGACAGCAATATAGACTAAAAAAATCCGTAGGTTCACAACAATTGAACATGAATTCATTATATTTTAAAACAATGTTTCCCTGTAATGAATTTAAATAATGCGGATACAAACAATACATTGCACAATTTATTGCCAGGCATATTTCACTGTATCTTATCGGGTGTGTTACTACAGAGTTACATCAACATGTAACGGCCATGCAACAGATACAATGTATCGAAGAAACTATTCGCATTTCAGTTGAATTTATTCAGTTTTGTGCTTTTTTTTTTTTATGTAACTCTGTAGTATCTTACGCACCTGATGAGATACAGTGAAATATGCCTGGCAGTAAATTGTGCAATGTATTGTTTGTATCCGCATTATTTAAATTCATAATATTTTGCAATTTTTTAAAACCAAAATTTGAATAGAGAACAAACGTCAAGACATCCCTCTGTTTCATAAATATTCTCTGAGCTGTTCCACTATGCCAGTCCTAACGATAAGCCCATTTATATAAAAATGCACCATCGACATGGGAGCTAACATAACCATTTCATGGAAAATGAATTTTAAGCATTACCTAATTTTTGCCCTTAAATAGTCATAGAGAAATGAATGGCTAACGGCTTCAACTACATTTGTCACAAAAGTCGCAGTTTTAACCTGGCGGTGAGTGTCCAAAGTTACGATTACAGGGAGTGCGATCGTGGTAGCCAGGTGTAAACCATTGGCAAATCGCATTGAGTTTGATCGTGGTAGTCAGTAAGTTAAAAGGGGTGTGACCTGACAAGAACATAGTGCAAAAACAGCCAAAAAAGAGAATGAAACCAACAAAGAACTGGTGTCATCAACTGCTGCACGCTGTGGGATTTATTGAGGAGCGATCCGAGCACATATGGACTGAATGGTTTCATGTGCAGTGATGATGATCTGTCGAGTAACTAACTAACTGTTATTTAAGTAGGTTCTACTTTTCATTTGCTTGATACCTTTTCTCATTATTAAAGTAAAATTGCTGGTGTGATTATATAAGTATCTTCATTTTGTTTATGCTTCTAGCCATGCACGGGTCTGTGCCAAAGATGCCTTTACTGTTGCCGTCATCCAGCTGATTGCTGCTCATGTGATTCTGACTGTCCACCTTGTTTTGGCACTGACATTGATCCAAATTCCTGTGGTTGTTTGTGCTTGGAGATTAAACTTCGTACAGCACACAGGAGCTCTTCAGTCCCACCCGGGGAAATCCCAAACCAAAATATTAATACTGATGTTTCACTGAAGGACACTAATAATCTGGAGAATATGTACCACACAGGGCAATTAAATGGAAGTATTGTAGACAGAACTTTAGAAGAAAGTAAGGTAGCAAATGGCAGCGCCAGAGATAGTCGACAGTCTGCATCTCACAGCCCAACAAAGGTAGCAACTCATTTCCATCAAATGCTACCAGGCAAATCAAATGGTTTTAATGTATCAAAGACTGAAGGTCAGAATTCTGTCCATGTCAACTTCAATGCAGAAATAGATGAATCACTTGCCAGACATGAATTCCAGCAACATTTATTTTCTGCTGCAGTTTTGTCAAGTAGTGCTCCAGGAGATTTGTTTGCTAGATCATCAGTTAACAAGGCAGGCGCTACAGAAATAGAACCCAGTCGTAAATCTAAATCAAGATCACGAAGAATAATACGTCCTGGCCAAATATCCCAGCGTTTTCCTAACAAGATTTTAGTAACTTCTGAATCGCTTGACTTTTCCAGCTTGGAAAAAAGAACGGATATCATTTCTGAGGTATTGTTCATTCCAAATAACCAGGAATCTTTGTCGCATGTAGCAACCCAGTATGATGATGTGAATCTTCACCGCCCCTTGCCTCACCTAAAAAGAACTGTTTGACAAAATGAAATGGAAACCATAAGTGCCATTCCAGTGTGTAATGCAATTTGTTGTTGTTTTACAGCCCCATCACAGGCTGTGGTCTGGGGCCCTAATATAACCTAACGGTTGAACAGGCTTTCTAGGATCTGTCCCCGGGTGATCCTCATCCAAATGATGGCACTTTGTGTCATTGGGTGTTTATCGCTTGGTGTGATGTACTGGTGGGGTTGAAGGTCAATCATTGAAAATTAAAATCATTTGAATGCAAAAAATAAAATTAGTAACTCATTCAGTCCAAAGTGGTCACTTAGAGGCCAGAATTCTTCATGATGTCATGGTCAAATATATATATATATATATATATATATATATATATATATATATATATATATATATATATATATATATATATATATATATATTATATATATATATATAAGAGACTAATGAACTCTGTCAGTTCCAGGCGGTTTAGCATTAGAGGCCTAAAGTTTAGTAAGCATAAACATATAATCAGTGCTTCTTGCGTTTACTGGGCTTCTGGGTAGGAACCGATGAATGTATGATGCATTCCTTGGGACTGAAAGAGTTTAGCAATGTTTGGAATTTATAAGGAAAAGTGCAGATAACAAATCTCTAATTTCTCAAAGAGTTAGGGAATGTTCTTTATTCCAAAAATACATTTCTAGTTATATTTTTTAATATAAATCTTGACAGGGAGTGGGAGCAAAAAAAAGTATGAACAATAATTCCTTTTTATTGTTGATCTCAAAATGTAAATGTCAACAGAAAGCCTGTTTTGCCAGAAAACATTGTCTTTTGAAATGTATTTATTTGTCTGTTAAGTACTTTTTTGTGGTGATTTTAAGTGTTTTTGGCAATAAATGAAAAAATGAGACTTATTTAACTCTTTCAGTAGCAAACAACGTACCGTAAGTTTCTTGGTTGATTAAAAAAATGTTCCTGCAATCTCTTTTTATAGTCATTATATTAACTCTTTGTATCTGACGTATTAATTGAACTACTTCCAACCTATAACATCTCTGTTGCACTCAATATAACCAAAGTTGGTATTGCTATTAAGCTCAACTGATTTGGCTAAAAAGAGTTAACAATTATTTTGAATTGGGAGAGTTCGAAAACATATTTATTAAAGTTTCTTCTTGCCAGATTTTGCTGTATATTAATAGCTGTTTCATTGCATTTTTAGAGCTGCCAGTATATGAATTATAAATTTGTATGCCATATTTAAGTTATTTGTAATATGATCTGAGGAGTGACTGACTGAGTGATTAAGAATGTTGGTCTCCCATTTTGGAAAACCAGGTTTGAATCCTTGATTGTCTGTTTCTGTTGGTGGTTAAAAAAAAATCTGAACCTGCATCTGAGGAAACTGCATTAGACATACAGCCTGAAATACTGAAGCTTAGGAGCCCCCCTCCTCCTCCCCCCCCCCCCCCCCCCACTCCCCCGTCCTACAAACAAAAGTGGTCATTACAGGTAGCAAAGAAAAACTGTTCTGTGAAAAGAGTCACTATCTTACCAGAAAAGAATCTTTTTCATCTTTATGTTTACTGGCTGTATATTCCTGTGGTAAGTTTTGTTTTTGTGTGTGCACTTCTAGGCATCAGTTGGTCCAGAACTTGAGTTTTCTGTGTACATCCATTTTATAGATCTGGCTTATTTGTATGCAGACTATTGGATGCTCACCTCTCAGGCATAACCAAATAATATTTATGTGCTTCACAATGGACACATTGCAACCAACTTCCACTGTGGAAATGGTAACATTTCGGTTATAATTAAAAATGTTTATTATTACAAAAACTCAAACCAAAGTTTATCTTTTGTGAAATTAAATAATTAGGTCTTAAACAATATATTATGCAATTCATTGCCTGGCGTATTTCCTTCACCTCTCAAGACATTCCGGCTTCAGAGGAAACACCACCGCTTCAAGGAAACACCCCGGCTTAGAAGGAAACACCCCGGCTTCGAAGGAAACACCCCGGCTTCGAGGGAAACACCCTGGCTTCGAAGGAAACACCCCGGCTTCGAAGGAAACACCCCGGCTTCAAAGGAAACACCCCGGCTTCGAGGGAAACACCCTGGCTTCGAAGGAAACACCCCGGCTTCGAAGGAAACACCCCCTAATTAGTCCACTTTTGTGACATGCTTGTTGAGGGTGGGGGGGGGGGGGGGGTGTGTGTGTTCTATTCTTTTTTCTTATACAGTTGGACCCGCATGACCTTGAACACAATAAGCTGTTTTACTTATAAACCCAAATACTCATAATTGTGTGTATCTTTCTTGTAAAAGAGAATCATGTTTGCTAAGTGGCTAGCACACTAACCTACTGACCCAGCTGTCATGTGTTTAAACTTCCTTCCAAGCGGAAACAATTTTTATTGACTTGAATTGAAAATGGGTGGTGGAAAGTTTTCTGGGAAGAAAAGGTGGACAGCACGATACTGACCAAGTAACTCCTTATGCTCCAGCCTCCATGTATGGGGTCCAGGGGTCCATTTTGTGGAGAAAAATAGTAGATCTACTGTCCTCCCACGCATATAGTGAAACTCAACTAATTGTTTCCTTAAAAGTCAGAGTGCATCTGCATCAGAGATGAGGATCCAGCAGTCTGCAAACAGATTTGTAAAATGTATGTGCACACAAGACTCAAGTTCTGGTACAAGGCGTCCAAAAATGGAAGAGCAACCAAAACTTTCTGCTGGAGTCTACAACCAGTAAAGGCTAAAAAGAAGAAAAATTCCAGCTGATCTAAATATATAGGCAAGTAGAATATACCTGATATTGTTTTGTAATATTATTAACTAACTCATTGATCAGTTGACTCATACCACTAAACTACTCACTCATTAATGCACAGAAATGAACAGATAGGGAACCATTCATACAAAGAAGTAGAAAGATAGATCAAAATCCAATCTCTTTTTAAAAAATCAGATTGACATAAAATTTTGTCATAAGCCTCATTGGTAGAGGTCATGGCATGAGTCAGCTGGTACATGTTTGTTTTTAGATGCCAGTCTAAAATGGAGGATTAGGCACGGCAGAATGTTATTTTTGCTTCCTACAGTGCTTTGCTAATGCAGTTTCCACATATGGGTGGTAGTCTACGATTTCACTGCCTACGCTACTGAGTTTAGTCCTTGGTGCAGCACTGTGAGCTGTTTCTCCTGTGGAGAACCTTTCATTTGTGCAGCGGTTGTGTCGTGGTATTTAATATGGCCAGTAGCCGGTTTTCCTGTGAGCTGGTGAAATACCTTATGTAATAATTCTACATATGTATAGCCAACTTATCTTGCCTGACTACATCCATCAATGACAAACTGCATTTCTGGTGACGACTGTTGGCTTTGGAGCCTCTAGCAACTGAAACGGGCATTTACTGCATGCACATATTTCTGGATTGTTCCAGTACTAATTGTTTGTTCACCAGTTTTTCAAAACTGATAGTGATGGACATTTCACGTGATTTGCACTGACACAGAAATGGAGCAAGTATGGGGAAAACCTGATTGCAGTGCAGTTGAAACCTCGGCTAAGACTAAGACTACATTTGTTTAAGGCTGCAATGAGGATAATCTGTTGGCTAACTAACTAAAGACGCTTTTCATGCTAGTGGCGCATGGGGCATATGATGCTGGACTCTCAAGGGGTGACATGATCACCATTTTAGGCTGAGAGCCAAGGTCAGTTTATCAGATTTGAACACAAGACCTTTAGGTTTGTGCCGGGCATCTAGCCATTTCATACCACGACTCCCAGTGGTTGTTTGTCCAACACAAGTGATGAATACCACTCTTTTTTTCATCTGTCATGGTTCATCTGTCATGAAAGTATAGTTTAATATCTGCTAGTCCAGAGGTGACTTATAAGCATAATACCGGGCCGGAAGGATCTGGGACAGGGTTCTTAACTTGTAGGTCGCAACCCCTTTTGGGGTCAAATGACCCTTTTACAGGGGTCGCCTAAGACCATCAGAAAATACATACTCACTGAAGTTATAAAATAGCAACGAAAATAATTTTATGGTTGTGGGTCACTAAAATACGAGACACTGTATTAAAGGGTTGCGGTATTAGGAAGGTTGAGAACCACTTATCTAGGACAATGAGAAAAACCATGACTCCCCAAAATATCGTGAAAGCTAAGACAGAAGATAACCTCTAAAAAATTGATAGTTATCATTATAAAGAAACAATATATACCTGTGACCTCTTTTCTGCCAAAAGACCTTGCAAATACTTATTTACATGCGCTAGCAAATACTCAGGCTTAAAGCCAGTCTTGCCTACTTTTTAGTAACAAATGATTTATCAGTTTATTCTTTTATGCGTGTCTAATTTTGTTTGCTTTTGATGTAATTGTGTTTGTTTACAGCAGAACTGTGATATTTATGCCTTTCGGCCAAAACATATGATTTTATCTTTTCTGGCATGTGTTGACTGGGTTAGTCTTGCCAGATACACTATCTTTTTTAATCCATCTTGAGCTAAAAATTATGATACATGGAGTCAGTGAGTTAATTTATATTTCTCATATCTTTGATGTAAATTTACATTATATTTCTACCTACTTACATACTGTAAAGTACTGAGTAATGTTACATTTTCTATACCCAATTTTTTTTTTTAACTATTTTTTATTTTTTTTATTTGCAATTAATTTTACTGTTTTTAAATGTGTGACAGATTAAAAGCAGAATAGGTCGGGCGAAGGCTGCATTTCAGAAAATGAAAAATATCTTATGCAATAAATCGTCCTCATTTAATGTCAGAAGGAGGGTGCTAAAATGTTAAATAGAACCTGTTCTGCTGTATGGCTGTGAATCTTGGAATGTCACTGAACAAATTAAGAAGAATTTGGAAGCAACAGAGATGTGGTTTCTGAGACGAATGTTACGAATACCTTGGATGGCCAGAGTAACTAACGATTGCCTGAAAGAGGCTAAAAAAAGTAGATCTCTATATACAACAATAAGAAAGAGACAAGCA